AAATTTTGACGTTCTCCCAGTCAGTCATAATTCGATGAAAGTCTGTGGTCAGTAATGACCGATCTAGTGCCACTGGAACTATTAATTTGACGGCGATGTTCTAGTATTCTCGTTTTTAGCTTTCTGCCAGTTTATCCTACATACGTCGCGTCACAATCTTTGTAACCGATTTTATAGACCACATTCCTATTTAAGTCTCTCGGGAGAACGTCTTTATGAACTTTCACAAATCTTCCAAGCTTATTCATACTGAAAAAAGCTAGTTTCATGTTCAAGTTCCTGATAATGTTCCTGAATACAAGATTGAATATACGGAAATAGGAATCAAGAAGTATTCGTTCTTGTTCCGGGGAATTCGAATATTATTTTGTGCCTTTGTGAATTAATGCTTTTAATCTTGAATTTATAGTCTCAAAAATAAATTTAGGAGGATAGTCATTCTCTAGCAGTGTGTTTATTACAAATTTAAGATTCTTGTCATGGTATCTAGGATGCGACAACCAAAAACATTCCCATTATAGTTTTATAAGACAAAGGATGTGCCGAAAAAAAGTTAAGATACCTGCCTGAAAACGTGAGTTGGTATCAATCAAATTCTAAATGATTATTATTAATGATAGTGATATCTAAAAAATTAATCAAATTTTCTCCAATTCCAGTCGTGAAATTAAATTCTAGGATGGAATGAGTCAAAAATTTTTTTTACATTTTCCACCATATCTGATGGTGCAGCCATCATAACATCGTCCACATATCTAAATAAAAAGATAAAGCAATGCCTATATTTTCCTTAAGGCTATGGTTTCTAGGTTTTATAAAACTAAATCTGCCATGATCTGAGAAAGTGAAAATCGTATAGGAGTACTAAGCTTCTGTTTATAAAAACAATTATCAAATTGAAAATAAATCGAATTTAGAATCAAATTTAAAGCTTTAATAAATTCGCCCTTTGGAATGTATTTTTCTTCTTAAATAAGTCCATCTATTTGATACACTTTTTACTGCTAAATCCAATGGAACATTTATGAAAAGAAAATTTACATCATTACAAAGAAAAATTGAAATGTATATGTTTTCTAATTTTTTAACTAACTGAAAACTATTACCTATAGTACTGAAAGGTTTAAAAATGTTACTAGAAATGTCGTATAAAAAACCTACTAGATTATATAGCGGGCTGTGAGAAGAGATTATGATTCTGAGTGGGCATTCCGGTTTATGAACTTTCGGAAGTGCACGGAAAGTAGATTTTCATCACTAATAATCAATTTTTTGTATGTCATCTTTAATATAAATTTCTTTTTCTTTCAATTCATGAACAAATCACTTAATCAATTAATTGTATTCTTCTTCGCTTTGATATAAATATCTTGGTCATTGAGATTTAGATGAATTTTTTGTGTATATATGTTTTTGTTCATGACAATCTTTGATTTGTAATGTTGCCCTTATCGACTTTCGTAAAAATCATATTCATCTTATCAAAAATAAATTTATTTTTTGTTGCTAAGAATCAATTATGTAATTTTCTAATCACTGGGTTGTCTTTCGGTACCCAAGAAGAAATTAAAAAGTTTTTTAGTAAAGGAATGATAGTGTTTCTTATGTTGAAGTGTAAATTTGGGGATATCTCTTTAAGATTGTTTTTAACAACTTCAAAAAGTGAATTTTTGTAGTCAAAAAGAGACATAGAAAAATTATCTCCTAATTGTAAAAGTAGTTGAGGACTAAAATAGCGGAGCTATCGGGAATCGAGCAACGCGGAGATAACACGCGTTATTGAAATTTACACGCAGAGAGAAATACGATATGCAAAATCTACATACACGTAGAAACATGCAAAATTCAACAACTTCGTCGTAATGCATATTCGATAATACAGGTAATAAGTCTAATATAAGTATTTTAATATCGGTAGTATATGTCAAAAATATAAAGGTAACTTTAAAGTGCTGTACTAATTGGCACTTTCCAATAGATCAAAAAATATAGATCAAACAGGTGCAAAAGCTCACTAAGCGCTCAGTGAGCGATTGTAGTACTAAATGCACCCAATGTCTCATTAAATATTTTCATAGCATTTACAATAAATATTTCATAATATATTTATAATATATATATTTATAATAAATGTTTATGATCTGTGCAATCTAAGACTACAAAAATATTGAAAATAAATTTTAGAAATATTTATGTGTGTTGTCTGGGTAAGTATTCAACATTAATTGTTCATGTAATCTTTAGTCCGAACTAAGATTGTTTTATATGTACAAAGTATAAAGCTCGTATGTAAAGCAAATTTTATTACAAGTCAACGTTAAAAGTCGGTAACAAAACTATAATTTTCCAACTTTTTTTCGTTTTTTGACATAAAGTCGACCGGTTTGGACTACATTATCGTTCATACTTTAATTATGGAGAAGAATTTTTTAATCTGTAAAGACAGTTAGAAGAATACTTGTTTGGAAAAATTGATCAACAGATTCACTTTAGGATCCCCTAAGCCCGGATCTACAATATATTTTTAAGCCTTAAGCCATAATAAGGAATGGACGAATAACAGTCGATTATTCTTCTCACATTCGGCTGTAATTGGTCAGTTTCTTATGACTTAAGACTTAAAACACCTATTGTAGATCCGGATTTAAGGACTATCCTTTTTGCTAAACAAAGTTCATCTTTCTTTCTTTTTTCTCCACGAAGAAAAACAGAGAAAAGAGATGTACCGTGCAAGAAGTTCAGCTAGAAAGAACAGACTTCTAAAAAAAAGCGGGAACAAACCGAACAAGTAGCGAGGGACATCTGTTAGTCGAGAATTATCGTAAATCAAAACTGAAGAAAGGTCACGAAAGGATCAAAAGAGAAAGTATAGTAACGCGACAAAGGAGAAAACGCGTACGTACAAATAGCGACGAGCAACGAACTAATAAACGTTTACGCCTGAAATCTGAATCGACGTTAATTCATTCTCTGCGATCAAAAAGGTATTTAATTACTCGGGGTACTCAGAGTACTACTCTCAGTTTATAAAAAAATCTTTAAAAGTATTGTAGAGAGTCCTCTTATTAAAATATTACTTTGTTTGGTCTGTATTGTCTATAACTAAATCTGTTTTTATATAGATGCCTTACATAAAGTTATAAAGCTCTGATGGCGAAATATTCGAGATTGATGTTAAAATAGCAAAGCGAATATGAAGACTATGTTGGAAAATCTCGATGAAGTTGAGAAAAAAGTTATACCATTGCCAAATGTAAATTCTGCAACACTAGAAAAGATCATGTACAAAACTGTTACTAATACAAGTTACAAATACTTGTATAATTAAAGGCAAGACACCTGAAGAAATTCGCAAAACTTTCAATATCGAGAACGACGTTACAGCTTCTGAAGAAGAACAAATGCACAAGGAGAATGAATGGTGTGAGAAATTAAAAAATCACAATTTTTTATGGTCGCGAATAACTTTGAATGTTAAATAATTATTGCGTTACTAGATGTCGAACTTAACTGGAACTCCATTACTTTAAGAAATTTTTATGTGAAAATTTTTATGAAAATGGACAAAATCCTAATTAACTATAGTCAAAATCAAATATTCCTCATGTATAATTACATACAAAATTATGCATAATTTTGTATAAACATTTTTTTTTATTTTTTTAAACTTGATTTTTTCTAAAATAAATAGTGTGAAAATTAACCTTTTAATTATTTTTGGTAATTATTTAGACCAACCCTCCTCCCCCTCACCTCAAATCATATACATATTTCATATTATGCATGTTTATACATATTTATACATATTTATACATATTTATACATATTCATGTATGAAAAATTTTTTTGTATTTTATGGGATATATTGTTTATACTTCGTTCTTAAAATTTAATAAAACCTTTGAATGTTACCGATATCCAAGGACAACATATTTTGAATCTTATTTACAAGCTTCTAGCATATGACTTTAGACAACGCTGATAATTTTAGATAATATAATATTATAAATTTATATTTAAGAACATATTATATATACGTGTGTTTAATGGTATTAAAAATAAATTTAAAAGTAATTATTTATACTTTTAATTATTTACTTTCTGTTACATCTTTCAAATCCTTAGAAAAAAAGCTAAATTTTTAAATATAAAAACTTAGTCAATATTAAAGTTACTAGTTACGATTCTTTTCTTATAACTTTCACATTTACATGCAATTTGTAAGATTACAAGTTGAGAACCATGTCTCCTAACCTCAACGTCAAAACATAACCTACAATGGGCTCAATTTAAATAAATGTTTAATATTTCCTTATTTTATTTGTATTATGTGAAAAAAAATTTTTTACTAACAATAATCGTTAGAAGAATACATTTTTTAAATGTAATGTTAATGGATACGTAAAATCTATACTATGAGTCAAACAAGTGAGTATTGATATAAGCACTATTTGTACGTAATAATTATATTTTTATTTGTGATATAAATCATTTGTTTCTAAATGTATACGAGTATTGTATTTAAACGATGTATTCATCGAGTTTCTCACGTTTTTTTTTTTAGCTAATTGTATTGAAAGATTAAAAACACAAAATGATAGAAATGGTCCACAAACTTTACACAATGAATGCAATTGGCTTTATCCTGACAAATCAGTTATAGAATATCATGATTTAGAAAACGTTAAAATTATAAGTTACAGAGAACTAAAAGCAGCAAAAGAAATAGTTTCTAATCATTTAAAACATATACTATGTCCCGAATTTATTGGTATTGACTTCGATATTTTGGAGTACTGTGTACCTTCTTTAATGCTTGGGTAAAATACCATTATTTTTATCTGATATATTTAATTAGATAATTCATTGTTCTGGATATTTATATTGAACTTATATTTTGACAGAATCCTTAATAGCGGACATGCTTTCTTCAATGTACCTACAGATCCAGCGACATATACAGAGATATTTACTTCTTTAAATGTAAAATACATTTTTACAACATCTGTAACATCCAACAGAAATATTATACATCTCTTTAATATTCATGAACAGTCGATATATTTAACAAAATTAGTAGACGTCCAAGAAAATTATAATAGAAGATGGTATCATTTTGCATATGCAATTGCCACTTCGGGATCGACTGGAACACCAAAAGTTGTCAAAGTACCCCATTCATGTATATTGCCTAATATTGTGGATTTGAAGAAAATTCTAGATATAACGAGCTCTGATAAAATAGCACAACTAACAAATTTTACTTTTGATCCTAGTATTATTGAAATTTTCTTAAATCTTTGTTATGCTGCAACTCTATTTATGGTTTCGAAAGCATTAAAGAATGAAACTGTCAGGTGGATATCTTTAAATATTAATAAATCCATGTTAATAAACAAATGCCAAAAAATAATAGAATTAACAGTAAAAAAATATAAATATGTTTTAGGCTCTTAGAAAAAATATTCCATGCTCGTGTAACAGTTCTTCAAATTACTCCATCACTTCTCTTCCATCAATGGTCTACCGAACGCTTGAAAACAACAATTTTGGACAAAGATTCTAAGCTAAGAATTCTTCTTTTGGGTGGAGAATCGTTTCCTAGCATGAAATTACTTTCAGAAGCTAGTCATCCACGAAATACAACACGATTGTTTAATATTTATGGTATAACCGAAGTATCATGTTGGTCTAGTATTAATGAAATTGTCAAAAACAATGTAGATGAGCCTTGTTTAGGTGAACCTTTATCAGAAACTATATTTCAAATCAGAAATGAAGATAATGAAATAGCAATTAGAGGCAATGGCACTCTTTATATTGGTTAGTTTTGAACATTATAAATGTGTGTGAAATATTTTTTATAAAACTGATTTTCATATAAACTATTATTTCACACGTTTTTCAATATAGGAAGTACCACTAGAATTTGCATTGTTGGAAATGAATCTGAAGAAGATCTGAATAAACCAGTTTTTCGCGATACTGGTGACGTTGTTTCCGTAAGTTTTGTTAGTAAATTATTTAGAGATTAATTCTATGGATCAATTCTAAGCAGAATCAAGCCCGTAATTTGTTCTCATAAGACATATAAGAATTTATGATTGAGATTTTATAATTTTATACTGTAAGATGTACGATCATTTGTAAATATCTAATGATTTTTTTAATAAACTATCTGTAAAGATACTGCATACAGTTATAAACACTTGTAAGTTCTTACAAGTGTTACGAGAATATATTACGATTTTGCTTAGAATTTAGATATTAGTTTCATAATTTAATTTGTCCAAGATTGTTTTCAATAATAAAGATGAGTCTATTCATCTTTGTTATTTCTGATTTTCTAGGTAGATGATCAACGTAGAATATTTTATAGAGGAAGACGAAATAATATTGTAAAAAGATTTGGAAACAAGATGAACTTACAAGAGCTTGAGAGAGTTACGACGGAATTAAGTTTTGTACGAAATTGTGTTGCATTTTGGGACGTAGAGCGTCACAAATTATATCTATGTTTATCCATTACAGACACAAAAAAAGAATTTTCTAAATTGAGAGACGATATAATATCGCATTTAAAGTTATTACCTGCTATCTATAAGCCTGACAAGATAATCATAGTAGAACGCTTTAATTTTACTACTAGTGGAAAGATTTGCCAGACATCATTGAGAGAAATATGTAGGAATTCTGAAATAGAAATTGATAGTGTAAATAACTTATACATTAATGAAATATTTGAAAACTTGTGGAACAATCACATAAAATCCAGAGACGCTGGCTTTTTAATGTCAGGAGGTACATCAATAGCAGCGCTTCAAATCTCAAGCGCTGTCACTCAAGCCTTTAATATAGAATTTCCTGAATTAATTGGAATGTTGTTGAAAGATTTTACATTCGACCAGTGCATCAGTTACATCAGGAGTATTTTAATTAGTCGAGACTGCGACAAAGCTGTTATTGGTTCCATCGATATGTCTGTTAATGATAAGATATTTAATAAAGATACTAAGAAGATACTTAATACAGAAGAGTATGTAATAAAACAATCGCAAAAGAATTTTCCACTAGTATCAAATGAGAAGCATTCTTATCGTTGGTATAAATGCAGGGGGAAAACTTATAATGATACATTAAAAAAAGAAGAAAATATCAAATCCCTTTTAAAAAATATATCAAACATTGAGATATTAAAAACTTACAATTTGCAGAAATGCGTCGATGCCTCACCAACTATATATCGTTATTCCGTGTAAGAATGATTTTAAAGAAAATTATTTTTTAATAAAATATACAAAGATAATTCTTTATCAATATTTCAGGAAGTGAAATCCAAAATAATGTTAATATAAAACTATCATTAATTTTTTTAGAACAGAACTGTACGCTACAGTTGCTTCACATTCCGGCATTATATGTACTGTTAATTTGTTAAAAACCGATGTGTCATATGAAATAAAACTACCAAACAGAATAGAAGCCTCTGTTTTAATTCTAGCTGATTTTCGTGGAATTGTAGGTAAGCCCCATATTGATATTGCAATTTAATTATTAATATTTAGCAAATTATATGTTTTTAATTGCAGGCTGTTACGATGGATACATTTATTGTATCCATTTAAAAACTGGTGATATAATTTGGAAGTTCCAAACACAGGACATGGTTAAATGCACGGCGATAATGTGTACACAAGGGAACAAGATATTTGTGGGGTCTTATGACTTTAATATATATTGTCTCTCGACGGAGGTAGGCGACGTTTTTAAATCAAGTACTATTACGATATTACTACATCTCGATATCATTAACAATAAATTAATTAAAATTATACGATAAATAATGTGTGCTTTACTAAGTAAAATATAAAGCATCAAGAGACAAATCATTTACAGGATGGTATTCAAATTTGGAAAACTAAAGCGAGTCAAGGTGGAATTTGTGCTACCGGTTGTTTGCATCAACAATCGACTTCGGTTCTATTCGGAACATTAGATGGCTCATGCTTGGCTTTACATCAATCTTCAGGACGGATTATATGGAAACGTAAATTGCAGAATCCGATATTTGTTGCGCCTGTTGTGCTTCGGACTGGATACGCTTTATTTTGTTCTGTAGATGGAACCCTGTATTGTTTCGATATCGAAACCGATTGTCAGGTAAATGTACATCTTTCTTTTGTTGCTCGACGTGTTCTATCGATTTTTATTATTGTAGATGTGGCGGTATGCGATATATGGCAATGTATTTTCGTACCCTGTGATATGGACTCCCAATTTTACGAGTGATGAGCACATCATATTAGCTAGTCATAATAAAAATCTATATTGTCTCGAAATGCCACAAAGAATAATTGAAGAAAATGAGCCAAAATTGAAATATACATTACAACTGCAATCACCGATTTTTGCGACTACTTGGTGCGAAGATGGATATATGTTTGTAGCATGTACAGACGGCATCTTTAAAGTATTTGATCTTCTAGAAGGCAAATTGTTAGCGACCAAGCAACTTCCCGGCGAAACATTTTCTTCGCCAATTGTTCATAACGATCTTGCAGTCTTGGGATGTAGAGACAATCATTTATATGTTTTGAAACTTAGTTAAATATGATATAATATATGGAAATGCGCACTGAATGTGACTATTCATATTAGATTCCTCGCATCCTTCGATGTTTAAAAAGAGATTAGTCGGAATTGCAAAGGTACACGGTTAATACAATATTGTTTATTCCATTCAGCTCTCGTGTTACAAGTTGATGGATAATGACGTATCTGTTGCAGTTGAGACAAGTGTCCACATTATCTGAGTATACCAGTTTCCCACCAGATTTTCTTATGTAATGTGAAATTGCGTGTGCCCGTCGTAACCCATGCGAGAGTGCAAACAAAACGTGAATCTAGAAAAACGGTTTCTTCTCCGACACACATATCGTTAATGAATTGATCGATGTACATGTTCGCGCTCACTTGTCCTTTCCTTATCAGGTAACGATACAATGATTTATAATGCAAATGAAGTAGTCCGGATCTCAAGCTCACACGAAACAACAATATTTCAACGACTCCATTTTCTCATATTTATATATATATGTATACATATACTTTTTTGTAATATATAATATATATACTATATAGATCTATAATATATCTATAATGAAATGCTTGGCCGCTCCGGATATTCTTTGTTTTAATATTTCGGTATCGACCTTCGTTCGTTCTTTTTTTTTCATTTTTTTCTCCCCATTTACCATAAATTTTGTCTCAAGCGTACATGAGCATGCGACTTCTCTATTCCTAATTTTGTTTCTGAACGTACGTTGAAGTTGAAGATGTCTAATCGTGCTATCGATAGTTACGATTTGTTTCCTAAACGAGCGTTTCTTTAATGAGAAAAACGGATATGGAAGATGAAACATAGTTACAATCATATACGCGAATATACATCGAATAACGCATTATATATTGCTACTCCTATTTTTGCTACACGATTAATAAGCAAGGGAAAGTCAATGAATACCTATGCCTGTCATTTAGCAATTCGTATAAAACTATATTATTGTTCGATTATTTTGTTCGAAACTATAAATGCAACTTAGACAACCTAAAATTAACATCCAAATATAGATAAACTTTTCCACAACAACCGAGACTTGTCAGAAATATTTCTATATCTAGAAATTACCGGTGCTAATCTAAACAGAGATATGAGATTTACATTGTAAAGTTCAATTATTAGTTAACAATATATTGCAGCCTTTGTAGCAATATTATCATGTTGTTACAATACCTGTAGTTTTTCTGTACAATTTAATCTGCCGATAAACGTTTCACTTATTTCGATATATTAAAATATGGTACATAAGTATTGTATACACGTTATAACGGACGTTTTAATATCTTTATTTGCCTTTTTTTATTCTCTTTCGAATGTATATTGGCAGATTGGATTCATGTTTCGTGTAAAATATAAATTTAATTGAATCTAACCTTATATAATTCGGTGTTCGAAATCGTAGAAATAGAGTCCGAGAATTCTTTTCCGTGTGAGTGTGGAAAATTCATGCGCTTCGGATAGGACTGTGTCGGAACAGCAGAACGAGATTAGGAAGGTAGTGAAACGGAGAGAGAAATTTGATAGAGAGAATTTAGTCAACTTTTTTGTTTCCGTTTTTCATCCTCTATCAAAAAGAATCTACATAATTAGGCACAGGTCTGCTCGCAGCGTGACTTGTTCCATGATATCTGCCTTGAGACACTGTCGCATGCCGACGCAGTCGGCAATCGTCGAGTGATGTTTCCTTTTTACTCGAATACGCAAATACACTGGGCGCTTTGATTTCCCCATAATGTCGTGTGTACATGCTCGCGCGCATTCCATAATTACGGTTACTGATCCTCGTCGCCGAGTTCTTGCTTGACCTTGTTAAAATCAAACTCCTCACCGGTGGCGCGCTTGAATATGTCGAGCACGTCTAAGCAGGTAGTCTCAAAGTGTGTGGTAGCATCATAGCTGGTGGATATAAATATTTGGCTGTTGAGACCATCGTCCACCGGCACCATGTAGTCGGAGATGCTAATAAATTTCTGCTTAACCGGACCGAGCAAGTCCAGACCAGGCTTAATCTCAACTTCAGGATTCTTCGTCTCCACCGTGGTCGAAACCATGGCAATGAACCAGCCCTTTGCTGCAACTTGATGAGTGTGCGACACGAGAGACACATATATGTCAGAATTACGACCGACCTAAGGAAAGAAGTATTTGATTAAAAATATATGCAGAACAAAGCTTACAAATATTATATTAACAAATTTATATCTATATGCGCGAATAAATGATTTAAAGATTTTGTTAGATCTTAATTGAGAAAGATTTTTAGAATATTAAAGTTAAAGAAGAAACTGCAAAAGAGTTCAAATAATATAATTTTATATACACGCGAGATAAAATTTATCAATTACCTGCTTCTGAGGAATGATAATTTGTGTGGATAATGCGTCAGCTGTGCTAGGTATAGGATGATCCATTAAGCATATGCATCTTATCACTTGACCGACCTTCTTCACGCGATCAGATACGTATGTAGGATCACAAAAAACTTGTTTGCATTGAGCTACCTCATCGCCGGAACGGACGCCGACCACCTGTGTGAAACAACAATTAATTTTCAATGACTGAGTGCAAAGCTATGGTAAACGCAAAAGTTGCAACCTTGCCATCCTTGATAACGATTTCGTCAATCGGTTTGTCCAGCATGTATGTGCCACCATAAATAGCGCTAAGACGAGCGAATCCCTGAGGAAGTTCACCCAGACCATACATCGGATAGAGATATGGTGATTTTCCGTACCGCGCTAAACTGTCACTGTATAGTTTAATCCTTCTGATAGTGGTTATCGCAGTTTGGCCTATATAGTCGTCATCCCTAATTAAAACACAGATATTATTACTCTTTAAAAATGAATGTATAAATATTTGGCAAATATATATATTTCTATATAAAACACACTTTAAAATAATGAAAAAAAAACGATATCATTTGTTTCATGAATTCTTTTAATTTTCACAAAACATTCGCTCTACGAAGTCAACATTTGTCAATTATTACCTGTATAATGCTAACGCGTGTCCAGTAAAGTCCTGCGTATTCTTATCAAGACTAAACTTGCTATACAGTGCACTCATACTGTTACTGAAGGGGTCAAAACCATCCCACGTCTTAGGATCGTCCTCCTGCATGTTCTGCACCCACATAAGGAAGCTGCGGAACCGCCGTTTCTCGAACAGACCCATCAAGTCGCTAGACAAGGCCTCCTGCTGGTCGATTGGTACCTTTGAGATCTTGCCCGACTTGTATACATACGAGCCCTCCACTGACTTGAACTCCAAGTAACGCGTCACTCCCGTATGAATGAGTAGCTTCACGAGAAGACCATTTGCCATCAAGAATTTGGGTATCAAGTCAACATTCCAATCCCGACCGCGGCCATAGCTCTCGTCCGGCGATGGAGCCTTGAATTTACTAAACAACGTAATACAGGATAATTAAAAGCGGATATCTACGATAATTAATCTATACAAATGTATGTACTACAGCCTTTTAAAAGTATTGGCAACAAAGATAACGTGAAATTAGGTACAATTATATTTAATTAAAGTAATAGCTTTTTAAAATAAATTAAGGATGTTAAATGTCTTTCCTCGTTTTTTAATTTTCTTATGGAATATATCATGGAAGAAATTTTGAATGATAGAATCAAATCAAGAAAATATATATGTAGAAAAATAAAACTACGAAGACCAGTTAGTCAATGATTTCCATCATTCGTAATTAAAAGATTTGAGTCGGACTTCCGCTTCCGTAGTCTTTATCTGCGATCAGAAACCGCGACTGTGAATTATCAGAGAAAATTATTTTTATACGAGGTTGCTGCGACACGAGGTGTTATATTATTTACGAATCTGCAATCGTCGCATACGTTGAAAATTCGTTCGTAAATAACAATTGAGCAATATTGCGAACGCGATGTGACTCCAAGGACAATAATTTATTGACAGTGATAGACAAATTACCATGTGCGACATATAATTTATTGAGAGTTTGTGTTAATCGCTTTTCGTTATTGACTTCTTTGTCGCAATGACGTAAGGTGCGACACCGTAGAAACATTTCTACGTAAATACGTTCTACAGTTCATCCGACTATTCTTTACGATCATCCATATCGATTAGTTTTATTTTCGTCTTAGATTCATCTTGACCCTCATTTAAATTTCATCGTTCTTAACACGCGAAATGACCATTGCGCAACAACAGTGATTTATTCGCATCTTAATTACTTCTTTTACTTATACGGATTTATTGGATTCACATTCGCAGTTGTGAGACAACCGTAGATAGACGAAAGGTCCACCAGAACTAGCGTGTCGCGGCATTCAACGTGCATTTCTCGCATTTTTTTTACACGAGGCACGTAATTACGTACAATCTTTAGAACGGCCGTCGTTCCGCTTTCCATCTACATACAGATGAGTAGTAAAGTTCTTTTCCTCGACAGACTTTCATGTTCACGCGATGCCGAGGATGTACGAGGGAACATAACGGGCGGTATCAAGTTGTCGGCAACAGGATATCCGTGCTTTTCAGGTGACGTCGCACCTCTTCAACAGAATACAGACCCTAGACAGCAGCGAAAGGACAGAAAGTAGAGGAAAGTCGAGAAGTACAAGACCTTAATCGCGAACTTTTGACATCGCGCTTTTTTTTATGCGATTACCATGCGGTCAAGAGAGTGCTGCGATGAAATCAGAGGAACGTGAAAAACAACGTAAAACAGTGTTATCTTAAGCATTATCTCTTTCCTCTCTTATCCATTGCGTCGAATAGCGTTTTCGTTTAGCTCAGAATGTCCAGCTTCCACTGTAACGTCAAGAAAATTCTATAAATAAATAAATAAAAATTAGAATTAGTGAATATTCAATAAAATTGCTAATTATCTAAATGAATATTTAACATAACAATATTTTTTCTCTATGTTATAGAAATATTTAACTTAAAGTATATTTAAGCCTCTTGAACAGTCATCACAGCCATATTGAATCGTGACATCAGAAGTGACAAATGACACATTAATTTTTATTATATGTCATTTATACAGACAATTTAGATAAAACAAAATAATGAGATTATTTTAAAACATTTGTAAAAATGGACGAAAAACTAACTTATCCCCTCTGACAGTCAGTGAATAATCATAAAATAATAATTATAAAAAGCACATAAAGTATTTTTATTTAATGCGTACGCGTAGCTTATTTTCACTTACATGTGCCTTTTATCACTTTTTACGATTATTTATTGACTATTAGGGAGAATAAGCACAGTTTTCGTCCATTTTTTCAAATGTTTTAAAGCAATCTCATCATTTTGTTTTTTTATCTAAATTATTTTTATTTATAAATGACACGTAATAAAAATTGACGTATCATTTCTCGTTTCTGACATCATGATTCAATATGGATGTATTGACTACTCAGGAGGTTTAAAAAGCAATGGTTTCCACTATGAAATTCAGACTTAAAGGATCAATGCGATAGAAGCTGGATATTCAGCGTAATACGGAAATCTCGCGGAAGAAATTGTACATGTAATAGGAGAAGAAAAGAGAAAGTAATTGCGGTGGTGATTTGAAATTCGATCGTATTTCCTGCGTAATTATTGCCGTAACGCGATAAATGCGAGAACAGTATTTCGCATAAAGTCGTTGAGAATTATAGAAAAATTGCCTCTCGTACGATAAGCAATAAATTGACACGTGACACGTGTGGATATCTTATATCTTTGTATATATGGGTTGAAATGTAATGTATATATGTACGTTGAAGTGTAATCGACGAATATCATGTCGGTTTTTGTACATTACATTGTCGCCTATCTCGGGTATTTTCAATAATCAAGGATATTGACAAGGGCGAAATCAATACATTCGCGTTACATGCATCGTTGAAAAACGCAAATAATTTACAAAACTGTAAAATAATAACAGAAACAAATAAAAGTTGCGAAAGAAAACAAATAAGGATAAACAAAAAGTATGAAAGTTTGAAGGAAAGGTGAAAAGAGCAAGAGCAAAACTAGAGATAAAAATAAACGTAATTGCAAAGAAGTATATATATTAAATAAAAACTTAACTGTTCGAAAATAGAGATATAAAATCGATCTAATTAATAAAATTTCCTTCTTTTGTTGTAATAATTTTAATTCATACTTTGCTTTTAAATATTCTCTACAACAATATCAATATAAATTTTTATTGCAAAGAAGTAATGAAAAATATTCTCCTTTTTATACTTAAAGCAAAATCAAAATGTATGTTGTTCAGAGAGGAGGGAAAGATTAAGAGATTTACAGAGAGTACAGTTAAGAAGCGCCAGTGCGGAATATCGCAGTGAATCAAATTATCGAAATAGAGAATGATGTCTCAGAACCGTAAGCGAAATTACGACAACGAAAGTCGCTGAGAAAAATTTAGAATTTAACGCGGAGTCAAATTATTAAACGGCAGCTCCGCTAACGATTTCGCAATGTTCGATCGAGCGGTTCTTTCGGAGGGGAGGGCGGTACTCTTTTTTTTCTCCCCTCCTGTCTACACTCGAGTATAATCATTGCGAAGGCCGATAGTACCGAACTTTCCGCTCTTCATTCGAGTAATCAGTAGTAATGACCGGAATTCATAATTAGCGTTGAACGTCTTCGGAGCTAAACGCGGAGTTGTTAGTTTCGTTTCCGCTCCAAAATTCCAACACTATATAAATAAATAAATCCGTAGTTTAGTTTTTCCACTCCAGATCTCTTATAGATCCCCAAGGTATGTTCTAAGGACGTGTAGAGAATTTTCCTGGAAACATTTTAAAAACGTTCCCAGAACGTCGAATAATGTATTCTGTGTGGGCTTTAGCCTATTTTGTATTTTCGCACATTTTGTTTTATTCCAAATACAGAAAACGAAAATAAAGTCAACCTTCATCTTGTCCTTCACAGCTGAAGTTTTTGTATTCTTTCCATCCCTTCTTCTCTAACGTCCAATTAAGATTATGGCACACAAAAGACATAAGATTAAGGCGTAGGCAAGCAATAAGTAAATTGGTCAACACAGTAAAAAGCATTAGACTTTAATAATAACGTAAGCAACAGCAAATGTTGATGTGCTTATGTTATTTAACACAATTATAAACAAAGGGAAAAAGGTCAAATTTGAATCTGTATGATTGTTACACTTCAATTTTAAGCTGCTTACGTTCTTTCTGTGTATCATAGTCTTTAGTCTGCTTCGAGAAAGTTTGTAGAAAGTGTAATGCAATGCAATACGCAGAGAACAGAGAGATCGACTAATCTCGCCGACGTCAGAATGAGAATTTATTTCGTGGATAATCACTGCGCAGAATGCGAGTCGCACGAGATTCGTAAACAGTTGCGTCGTAATCCTCTCTTACTGTGTAGAATTTCGTGCAGAAATAAAACCGTGGACGTTAACCGAGAGGGCTGGCGTCCCGACGCTGAAAAGGGTTAATCATGGAGAGGACGAAAATCCAAAAGCGCGACCGCGTTCAGACGATTCGCGCGCGGCGGCGAGAATGCGGGCTCGAGAATCGATACGCTTCCCCCTCACCCGTATGCGGCGCAGTAAGGACGATACGGTACGTTCCCACTTCCCCAGCGGGAATGTTCTTCCTTCGCCCGCTCCTTGCTTCTCTCCTCTTCCATCCTCCGTTTTTCGTTTCCTGCATACCTATTAGCAAGGTTTCGATCGTGGAAGGAAAGGAGATCGATATCCGCGATCGCATTGTATCACGTCACTCCAGCTGTCGACGACGACAGTTCTCGACTGGGGGAGGGAGGGGGGGAAGGAAGAAGGAAGAAGGGAGAGAGAACGAGGGGCGGGTTCATGTAACGTAAACGTCCGGAGACATGGTCAGATATTGTCAAATTGCTCGAAGAATCACGTATAATTCGATACTTTCCCTCAAATGGTCGTTCTCTGGATTTTCGTCCTTTCGAAAGGATAAAAGAGGAAAAATAAAGGGTCGGGCCGAAGTGCGAAGTCGAGGAAGACGATCGACGAGTACCCACCTGAACAGATCCTCGAGGGGCGTGATGGAGGCCGACTCGCCGCCGTAGTACTTGTTGCGGTCGATGTGCAGCACCCGTTTGCCGCTGACGGAGAGCATGCCCGAGAGGATGCATTCCTTCAGGCCGGTGCCGAGGACAATCGCGTCGTATTCCTCATTCATGTTCGCGCCGGGCGAAATACGGATCGAGGGAAGCGGAAGAGAAAAGCGGTGGTCCGAGACTTGCGAATTATCGCGCTACTTCAACGCCGAGTATACCGCTCGCGAGCTCTCTCGCGTTTCTCTGCCTCACGGTAGTCACGGAACGAAGACTCCTCTCTCTCTCTCTCTCGTTCTTTCTCGCCTGCCGCGTGTCTCACGACGTCGCGCGATCGAAAAAACGCTACCTGTCGCAATTGCTACGTGACACGATACTGCACGGCACAGCACGACACGGCACGGCACGGCACGGCACGACACGGCGTGGCGCGGAACGGAAGGAAGACCAGCTCTTTCGCTCGCTTTGCTCTGTCGACGATGACAGCAGCGACGACGGCGACGACGACGGCAGTAGTCGAATAGCGGCCAGTAGCGACTAACTAGCGGCGGCGGTGGGTGACGTCCAACTTTCCCCTAGGCCCGCGTATCACGCCGTCGGCGTGTTGCGAAGCGGCTTTAAAGTAAGGTGACCCACACACACACACCCATCCACACACACACACACACACACACACACACACACAAAATCGTCCAAAATTAAGAACAGTCCAATATTTTATCCCAAATTAATGACATGATTACGAATTTTCCCTTTAAATGTTAAAACAATAAATTTGAAATAATAAGTGAAAAAATAATAAATGTAAAATTTATAACGTAAATTTATAAATACAATAATTTTTAATGTGATTTTTAAAGAATATGATTTTTTGACTCAAAAACCTAGATATTTGTTCTGATCTCATGTGATGTTCTTGTATATTAAGTGTTACTATAGTCAACATTTACAAATATATAATAAAATATTGTTCGTGTATTTTGTAACAAAAAATGATTATCTATTAAAATTTCACACTACAATTAATATTGATTTTTTTAATAGCCTGTTTTTTTTCTTAAAGATTGGTTATCTTACTTTAAAGAGAAGCGAATTCTTATTTTATGCGCATATAGATTCATCATTTAATCATACGTGCGATAAGGGATTAATTACGATGACTTTCTTGTTTTGAAACAGATGAAAATTATAAATGTAAACAAATTAATTACAGATGTTGATCAACAAAATGATAAATATTTCAATAAATTCACTTTTGTAATTTTTATCTCAAGATACACATAATAAATTTCGACTCGTATTACAAGTTGAAAAAGAGAATCACATAAGAGCATACGAGAAGCAAACGAGAATGGATTGAAATGAATTGAAATGGATTCAGATTTTCAGAAATATTAATTCACGAATGTTAAAATGAATTTTTTTCAGTCTTGAATGCATTTTTATTCATTTATAGGAATTGCATGGAACATATCTCTATACCTTTCAATCTAAAAATAATATTAGCTTTTTCTGTGCGTTATGAATACTGTTCAATTCAAAATTTTGAATAGGAAATGCAGTTTTTCAATCCAGTTTCGCATCCTGAATCTAATTGAATCCAATTGAATCCAATTAAAATTAAAAAAAAGTATTCGCGATTTAAAATACGCATTCGGATAGAAAAAAAATTTCAATCCATTTTAATCTATTTTTGTTTGCTGGGTAGAACTGAGCATTTCTGAGCATTAGTTGTGAACTCCGCAATCAAGCTATCAAGATAACGAAATATATTTCTCGGTTTATAATGCGAAAAGGTGGGATAGAAAGAAAAGGTTTATGATCTTATCATGTGAAGATTTACGATGCTTATCTCTTACATTGGTATTATATGTATATAGCGGATTGTTAATTTATTTAATCGTACAGTAATTATTTTTTTCAAAGCAAACATGCATTGTATGCTAATTGTATTATAATTGTATTTTTTATTTACCAATATTTATTTATCAGTGATAAAAATACATCTAGAAATTTTATATATTGACAAAACCGTGGGTTTACGATTAAAAAAAATTATTTACGAAAAGAGACGTAGAATTTTCTAATCTAATGATAAAATATAAATTAATTAGTATTATGTGTAGTATTATAATTTTTAATTATCGAAACAAACGATTGATGTTTCTCGAGACAACAAAAGGCAGATTGCTCGTCGATTTCAACCAATTACGGTTTCGAACTGACTGTCGCTTTTGTAGAACGCGGCTTGCGTCTTATAGTAACATTTCGTGTTTATATCACTCCTAGGAACTTGTCGTCTGTCATATTTCTTATTACGCGATCTCGCGTCACCAGATGTCGTCGATTTCGCAGCAGCCAGCATGTTGATCAGTATAAAACGTCAGTAGTCAGTACGTTCACGACGATAGAGTGGAGTGGGTGTCTCGTCGGGTCATCGGGGCCATCGAGCGTATCGGAGCAACGTCTGGCAACGCGTTCGCGCTTATCAATCGCGGTGAATCGGCCGCGATAACGCGCTTGCGAAACATCGAGGTGAGTCCGTTGATGCGCGAATTTTGAAAGCGATCGGAAACAAAAAAAAAAAGAAAAAAAATAATCCGCACTGCTCTCGCGCGTATACGCGCGTACCTGACCTGATGCGCTCGCAGATCTTAGCTCCGCGGAGAGGAGATCACGGATCATACGTCAGATCGATTTTTGCACCAGGTGTTTATCATACGTGATTCATCCTCCTCGCCGCGGACTTTCTTTCCCGAAACGCGCGCACGGGAAAATGTAAGCTTCGAGAAAACGTGTCCTCCCTCCGACGAATTCGAGACGAGTCCGCCATCCGCTTTCAACGGGGCCACGTGGACCACGTCGAGAAGGAAAAAATGTGAGCTCTCTCTCTCTCTCTCTCTCTCTCTCCCTCTCTTCCTCTTTCTTTCCTTTCGACCCTTCCGAGTATTAGGCGCCTGAACGCAAACGCGAGGGAAACCTTTTTCCTCGTTCCCTCCATAAAAATTCTTCAGAGAAAGTCTGCCACGTTATAGAATCATCGGTTTTCAACTATTTTTCCTGGGATTTATCGCGCGATTTTGCCACCAAAGTGAGAATTCGAACAGGTGGATTTACTCTGGTTTTGAAAAAAATTGTGAGAATAGTCCCATGCGGTGTATATGCAAGTATATATACGAAAAGGACGGTTTTACTCATGTATTTATCAAAACTTAGATATAGATCTGAAAGTAATTTTGTTGAATTATATCGAAATAGTTATGTAAGGATCTAAATAAACAATTAAATTATTGTTATTATAATTATAATGTATTATTCATTGTCTCTTTCCAATTCTAGAATTGAAAAGAAATGAGAAACAAGTTATCTCGGTTAAGAGTTAACCGTGAGTTGTGGAACTAGGCCTTAAACTAATTGCTAGAATGATATATTATAATAACAATGACAATAATTTAATTGTTATCATTTAGATCCTTACATAATTATTTCGATAATTCAACAAAATAATTTTCAGACCTAGCAAAATATCGAGCTAAGTTTTTATAATATTTCAACCAAATCGTTCTTTCCGTGCATAAAAAGCAAAGTTGTAAAGTTTTTAGTGAGAATAATATGATTAATTAGAGTATTATATGCCAAACAATTAGATTTTGTAATGAACAAACAAGAATATGTTGAGGAAGACTACCGAAGCGATTTTTGAGCCTCATTTCGTTCCCTTTAAATTTCGTAGCATTTATTACATTTGGGATGAATCAGTTGCGATGCGACTGAAAATAAATGCGGTAGGGAAAAGCTTACAGTTTGCAACGTCGTAAAGTAACGGTTAATTCGCCTGAATGCAATCGCGTAAAATTGCCTCTCAGCTCTCAGCAAGAAGACATTCTTTCACGTAAATTGTCTCTCGACCCATGATTAGGTATGATTCTATGTATTACGCATATAATTAATCCTCAAAAATATTTTTCGACAATTTTGTAACTCTCTATGCAATTTAAACGTACGTATAATACGACGTAACATTATTCACAGTATGATTAAGACGGAAGACTGTCGTGTAACAAGAAACTATCATGTAATAATCGTATATTAAGAAAAATGCAATAAAACAATATATGATGTAATAAAAAAACGTCACGCAATATAAAAATGATACAGATTATTTTCCTTATTGCCATTGGAGGATGTTCGTTTAGTTTTTGCACCTTTTATTTCACGATATGCTTTTTGCTTCACGTAAAATTGTCAATTTTATTATTTCTCAAAATACTTTACGATTTATTTCGCTGACGGGATACGATTCCGCGTGTAATGTTACACGACTTCGGTCGAAAAAAAATCGATCCTGTAATGGAATTCCAGCAAATTTTCCAGCGATGACGAAAACGTCGCTTTATTATTTATTCGCGTTGTACAGCTAGATACGTACATATTATACATGCGTTTCGATGATTCGGTTAATGATCGAGCGCTTATCACACGCGCTCGCTATCAGTCACCTGATTGAAATGAGTGTCAAAAATTGCGATGTTACTTAAACTGTATTGAACATTTATGCTTATCTTTAGCTCTAAATGGACTCATTCGAGATTAATCCGTAACAGGAACACATATTTTTTGTGAAACGCTAAGAAACATATGCACGGAAAGGACAATTTTGCTAAAGTATCTAAAAATTCAGACACAAATTTCAGAATAAATTTATTGAGCTATCAAAGTAATGGCGATAATTATGTATGACGTTTAGGTTGATTACTAGAACGTTAAAACTTTTTGCAGCATTGCTCATCATGCTTGACATTTCTAGATAATTATTTTAATGATCTAACAAAATTATATTCAGGTCTATATCTAGCTAAATTTTTAGATACATCAGCAAAATCGTTCTTTCCGTTTTAGGAGTCTTAAAGTATTTGTTATTCGAAATTTCAATTAGTATAAAAAATTATAATACTTGAATTTAGCATAAATACAGTACAATAATTAGTCTATATGAATAGAACAATGGTGTGAAAAATAAGATTGTGTGAAATGATTCCTTACAACTCATTAAAAATCATTATTTAAAAATTAGGGGAATGTCCGAGGGTCTATCTCTAAGATCCACATAAGTTACGGATTAATAAAGTACAAAGTAAGAACTATAGGTTTGGTCTAAACTTAATGAGAGGATATTAGTTCAGATTCAAACTTCTCAAAAGTCATTAGTTTTTATTTAGGCAATCCGAATGTGT